ATCACACAGAGCCTAGTTTCCCTCCTAACACAACCTCTGTGTGAAAAGGTTTTCTAACATGTTCTCGGGTTCTGGGTGTGGTACCTGTGTGCAGCGGTGCAGTATTGATCACTGTGGTTAGCTCGTTAGGTGGCCACTGAGTTAATAGCTTTGTTCCAACACATGAAGCGGCGCTGCTTTGCAGCGTGTTCACAGAATTACACTTCCTGACCCTTTTTCAGATTCAAAGATTTTAGCTGGTTGTAAAATCTGTTTCGTGTTGCTCAGTGTTCCACTTTGTGTGAGATGGGGCTGGAAATATGATTTTGCTCCGTTTGCTAATGTGTGTGTGTGTGTGTGTCAGGGACATTGTGAAACGAGGCGGCCTCTGGTTTGTGTTTGTGCGTTCACATCAGTCTCCGTGGTGCATTCAGGTTCCTCGGCTTCCTTTCTTCAGTTCCTCTTTTCACCCGTCGTTTGGCAGCGTCAGTGTGAAGTTACACATCGAAGCTTCCTGAAAACTGTCTCACCACCAAATTAGGATGTGTCTGTGTGCGCGGCGTCTCTGCTGTTGGTCGACAGACTCTCTTCTGCTTCTGTGGCTCTAAGTTAGGCATGTGTGAAGCTTCAACATGTCAGCAGCTCGACTTCCTGTCCTACCAGGAATAGAAACCCAGTGTGACACCAGGGAAACCACACACACTGAAATACACTCTGAAACCACACACACAGAGGTTTGTAGTCCTGTCTCTGTGGGGACTGAACCACGTGTGGGCACATCGCTCTGCTCGTCGGTTTCGTCTCTGAGTTGGCATTGTAGTTTGGGACAATAAAGTTTTAGTGAAAGCGTCTTTCCCGCTCTTTTATGGGTTTATTTGTTTTTTAATTGGTTATTTGTTGTCAGTTTATTGGTATTTTTGACCCTCAGCACAAATAAACAGAGTTGTGTAATCAATCATCAATATTCAGAGTTCGGTGCCAGAGGAGGAGGAGTTACATAACAAGTGTCACATCCATCATAATCAATCACTTCCTGTCTGCTGTTACAGCATAAAACCGTCAGCAGCACAAGAATCACCTGCAGCCTCAATGTTCCTGTGAAAACTGACTGAAATATAACTGGCAGGTGCAGCAGCCAATCAGAATGAAGTAGGCTTTCTATTAGAGATGGATCGATCCGATATTACCTATCAGTATCGGTCCGATACTGACGTAAATTACTGGATCGGATATCAGAGACAAATAAAAAATGTAATTCGATCCATTAAATATCAGAAAAGCACCTCACAAAACTTGCTACATGGCGTAACTCGGCTCATAACCGTAGCACGTGGGAGCAGTGTGGTCACGTGATAGAGCGGCTGTTGTGTTTGTAGCATCGCTACCAAACCAGCATTTCATCTCCGAGGAAGTAAGTTCATCTCTGAATGTTTGTAAAGCTTAACCGATATATGGAGCGACTGCCTCCCCCTCCCTCTCCTGTTGCTGCTTCAATCATGATCAATGATCAGCTGATCGTCTCTCCTTTG